TTTGGAACTCAAACCTAGTCTGGTCAGATAAACTATAAACTGGTGAAATATGTATGGGGGTATGTGTATGTCAGTGAGCAAGTGCAAATTTTAGTTCATAATGAACAATAATAACTGCAAATCCTTTTTTTTCCTACATCCTGAATTGATAGATTAGTGCTTTCCAAACCTTGATAAATTACCCAAAATTGGGTAAAAGTGGTTTTTCTTTGGGTAACAACCCATAAACCCATTCACAACAGGGACATTTAAAATGACTTAAAGATTGCCATGTGTACTAAAATATATTTGAAAATCTCCCAAAGTATTCCTATTAAGGTGAAAATCGATGAAATTACTAATTGTAATTTGTTGAAATGACATAAAGATAATTCAGTGATACTGTTTTTATAATACAGGTAGTCCTCAAGTTACAACCATTTGTTCAGTGACGGTTCAAAGTTATGATGGTGCTGAAGGAAGAGACAACCAGTCCTCGAAGTTCCAGTGATTGCAGTGTCCCTGCAGTCACCTGAACAAAATTCCAGCACTGGGCAACCAGCTTGCATTTACGACCAGTTGCAGCATCCCGCAGTCACATGATCACCATTTGAAACCTTCCCTGCCAACTTCCCACAAGCAAGGTCAATGGGGAAGCCAGCAGGGGAGGTTGCCACTCTGGCCTTTCTTTGCTCGCAGGCACTGTACCCTCCTTCCCCTCTTCGCTCAAATGCACCAGCCCTCCTTCCCCTTTGCTCACACACACACCCACACACACACCATGCCCTCCTACCCCCTTCACTTGCATGTATGCACACACCAGCACCCTCCTTCCTCCCTGAGTTTGGGTAACAAAGAAAAAAGTTTGGAAAGCACTGTTCTAGATAAATAAGAACAAGCAGCATCTGAATTATTATAAAGACCTTCTTTATCTCTCTCCATGTGACAATATATTCATGAAGTATACCGTAAGATATTTGGTTGGAGGATCAAGACACTGGCTTCAGCAGAGAAAGGTATAGAATAAAAGTAATAAGTAGGGAAGGAATGAGAAAGCTTTCTAATTAGTCTAATTAACAGATTGTTGAGGAAGAGGAGCTTAAAGCCAGCATGCAAATTACCAGTGTTTGTGTGTTGCTGTTTAGTCCTTAAGTCATGTCCAACTCTTCGTGACCCCATGAACCATATTGCGCCAGGCCTCCTGTCCTTGTGTTTGTGTAGCTCAAGTTAAACTGACCCAGTCAACAATTTTATTGGCTATATACCTGTCAGATTGTTCCTAGACAGTTAGTTTACACTACATCTTTTGAATGATAGAAATACGCTCCCTTTCCCATTGCAAAAAATAACAAAATTAATGGGATGAGTCATAATTTCCAACTTTTGAAATGAGACGTGAAACATATTCCCAGTAACGTCCAATCTGTTAATAATTTTCAGAAGTTGTGACTTAAAACTAATTGTTAGTAACACTGAAATGAAGCAACAACAGTTATTACTTCCTGTAACTGAATTCTAATCCTAATTCCATATATTCTGGATATAAGATTTACAGAGATAAGGCTCTGGAACAGCTTTAAAGAGATTAGGGCAGCTATGCCTGGGCCCGTGGGGAGAAAACGAACTCCTGGAAGCTAAATCTCGGCATAGGGTGCAACTTGGCGGAGGGTGCCGGTCCCCTCACTAAGGCTGTAACTAAGCGAGGCTCAATCCGTGGGGAGAGACTAGAGACAGCGTAATCTGCTGTATTTCTGTGCGTTTAGTTTTCATAGGAAGACAGGAGGGAGAAAAAAAGAGGCAATATTAAGAGATGCTGAAGGGGTGGGCTGGGGGATCGTTCGCCTCTCCCAGTCCGAGGGTGCAGCTCTTCTCCCACGAAGCCCAACGTCGGAGCTCCTCTCAGTCGCACGTTCAAGATGGCCACGAGCCACCCTCCACGCGCGTTTCCAAACACGGGAGCCTTAGCAATCGCGGAGGAGAGGATGGAAAGCGCTCACCCACGCCGTGCAGATGCCTCAGCGCTGCCGCCGCAGATTTGGAGCAGCCAGACGGGGGATGAGGCGCCATGACCGCCAAAGCCAAGCCAGACCGCGCGGGCGGTTACTATGACAACCGGAGGCGGCTGATCTGCGCGTGCCCCGCGAGGGCCGCCGGAGGCCGCTGTTCCGAAGCCGCCGAGAGAAAGAGCAGGGGCGGGTTGAAAATGCTCTTTGTCTTCTATTTTCCCAGTCGCCCTCCGCCCCGCCCATTGGAAACCGGGTAACTGCAACGTGTTTGGGGTTTTTTTGTGCAACAGCTGAGAGGACCTTTTAATAATAATATATAAGAATGGTGGATGCAGCAACCTATCAGTTATAAGCATGTTTTCCTTTCTTGCATTTAAATAATTATATCTGTGTTTAATTAATAATATGCGAAATGAAGGCATCTGTTTCCAGATACGCAGTTGCTGAAATTGCAGTCTTTTATATAACTAGAATATGTTATTACCTGTCTGTCTATGGTTAATCTGGGAATAAGCTGTAAGATGATAAAACAGGCATTGCATAGAACTACATTTTTAGCTTACACTTTTTAGAAATGTAATTAGACCTATTCAACTCAGCGTAAAACCTTTTTAAAAATGAAAGTAAATTATTTCAGTGGTTCACCCAAGCATCTTATTTGAGAAATCTATTCAGGAGAGGCTCTTAAGGACAAATATATTTAACATATGCACCAGGAACATCAAGCTGGTCAGCAGAATGCAGTAATTTGTCTCATTTTAATGTTTTCCTTCAAAGAGCTGTAAGGTTTTTCCTCCATTTATCCTCCAAATTCACCAGTATCGTTCAGACTGAGAAAGAAGCCCCTTTTAGAAGGATAGTTAGTAGTCACCATGTTCAGCAGCAGTCTTTTAATATTATGAGAATCAGTAACGAGAATACTTATTTATTTACACTAGTTAGAGCTGGCCCAAACAACATGGCCTCTAGGCAGAGTACAGAAAGTCATATACATGACATCATCAGGGCTCTTCTGGACATGAACAGACGATGTTGCCTCCATCCCACTGTGGATGCAGCTTGTGCCCATGCCTTCCTGTTCTGGTTCTGCAGTGATGCTCCTCCATTCTGACTGGCACAAGCTAGGCTGAGCAGTCAGTCTATGGTGAATGGCATGGAGATAAGTTTAGTGGTGGTGGCTTGCCCTGCTTCTGTTGGCCATCTGAGGCCAAAGTAGGCACACACATGGATTTTGGGGGCTGTTTGCCTTTTGGAAGTGGGATGATCAGGGCTTTCCCCACTGTACCAAAGAGTCATCTCTCCCACTTGTCTTGTCAACTCATGGAAGAAGAGAAGTCGGGAGAGATCTTTTGGGTGCCAGTTCTCCTAGCATCAAGAACACCCCATTCCCCCACCAAAGGGAAGGAACCCATGGGAGAAGGGAAGAAGCTGATAACCGGTGGAGAAGTGACAGCAAAAAGACCCCCTTCCCCTTATTCTCTGCCCACATTTTTGCCAGGGGGACAGGAGAAGCAGGGGTACAGAAGTGTCAGAAAAAACCTTTCATGCAAAGAGCTGTCGCAGAACAAAACATTCCCACCAGCTCTCTCCTTCCCTCCTCTACCCCCATGCTTCTGGTATGAACAGAAATGCATCACTGCTGAAGCAGAACAAGGGTTGGAAGAACCTTATTCAACATTTAAGAAGATACTGTATACTTCTCAGTCAGCTCCTGAACTGGATGACAGCACTTAACTGCTGCTGTGCAGAAGAATCCAGAGATACTGTGAGGATAAAATGGAAGGTGCAGGGAAAATATATGCTGCTTTGAGCTCTTTGGGGGAAGAACAGTAATACAGTTAGAAAAAGGTAAGATTCTTAAATATAAATACATGTGTGGGTAGATTGCCCCAGTTGCCATGATGGCACCTCATCCTATGCAACTAGCTCATCCTATGCATCTAATAAACTAGGGTAACAAAATGCAGTAACACCTATGCCCAGATAAATATTATGGATTAATATTCACACATTCATACAATAGGATAAGATAGTGGATTGTGGATTCCCACCATATGCTTTCACACCTGAGTAGGGGATTTCAGTCTCAAGTCTTTTTATTTTTAGTCCAACACTGGCAATGATCTTGGATTAAAAATAAGAGAAATATACAATAATGCCCCTCTTCTCACTCCTAATTCCGTAAAAATATTCCTCCAGGTTTAACAAATCTAGTATCATCTTCTCCGTGCCTCCTGGGACTGTTCTATTATGCTGAAGGATCATAAAATGTCTGCTGCGATAGACAAGGCTTTCCAGAAGCAGGGATATTTTTTTTTAAGACAAATAGTATTCTTTATTTCTCTTGCTGTGCCAGCTTAGTTTCAAAATTACATTCCAGAAGTCAGTGCTAAATCTAATATCATCCTTCTTCTGTCTCTACTCCATCGCTGCATTTCATGACTTTTTTTTTTAGTTTCATACCTGATTGCAACTGCATAATAGACCCAAAACATAAACACTACAATCATCCCCCTTTTTACTGCTAAGTGCTTGGAAAATGAATAAAAGCTATTTTGCAGAGCTCATCTTTGAAAAAAAATTCTGTTTGTACTGATTGCAATGGTAGTATGTTCATGTTTTTTCATAAATTTTAACCAACACCCTTGAAGACCCTTGTGTGTTTTCTAGAGCACAGAACATAAGCATGGGCTGCAAGTTAAACCATGTGACATTACACAACTGAAGGAACTTGGGGAAAATATTTATTCATTGGATTTATATCCTTCTTTTCCTTTATGGTGAAAATACCTTTCCAAAATGGTGTTCAAGGGATCAAGAAAACTCACCAGGAGTGCTCCTGTCTCATCTAGATTAAGCATAAATGTATTTTTTTCATGTAATACATTACTAATACCAAACAGTTTTCATACCTGGACAATTTCCCTAGATTACAACCTTGCAGGATTTTACCCATTAGTGGAAAGATATTCTCTGGACCCCTAGCTTATTCACAAAAAAGATAAGGAATAGACTTAATATAACTGTTTTGCAAGGTCAGCAATATCTGTCTTCACAGTCCTATTCATTCAACTATTTCTGTTTTATATGTAGAAGATTCCAAGTTTAATCCCCAGTTTCTTCAGGTAACATGGGGGAAAAGTGAGTCTGAAACCTACTTCTAATCAGTGTAGAGTTAGACAATTCTGAATTAGATGCACTCATAGCCTGGCTTGTAAGGCAATTTCCCATGTACCTCTTCTAATAGGTAATATTCTAGGTGGGACCTTTTTCTTGATAAAGCATGTGAAATTGTCAAATTTATGAAAAAAGACGTTTCCAAAGACATTTAATACATTCTTGAGACCGTAGTTCTATGTTTCTCTCATAGTACATAACGCTGAGCCACAAAACACCAATGTGATAAAAATGGGCGTGTCTGTTGTACTGGCATGTGCTTCTGTGAATTATATTTGATACAGCAATCTCCAGATCCACTTATGAACTGGCTGCCTTGGCAGCTGGAAGTAATAGAACTGGATTTCTGAAAGATACTATCTAGTCACAGTGCTGCTCAGAAAATGTTACCTGTTAAAGGCAAATTCCTCAGCAGAATCTGAGAGCTCTTAGCAATATTGTGATAGGCTGAAAATAGTGCAGTATATAAATTCATAGTATTTCCAGTGATGATGACTGTGAGCAAAATGGCAAAAAGACCCTCCTTTTAACATTTAGTAACATTTATTTCTGCATTCAGTATCAAGTACATAAGTGCAAATATTTAAGAATCCATAATTAAATCCTACAGAGAACGTCATACAAATTTGTGATACATATTACAAGCTGGAAGTCTTAATTTCCCTTACATGTAATCAGACCACTGATCCCTTAAGAGCAACAAAAAAAAAACCCAAAAAGAAAACAAAACAAAAGGTACTGGGTGTGTAGGTTTTATTTTCAATTTTTTGAAGAGAGTTATACAAAATGAATTATGCCATTAAGTACTAATTGCTCCTTGGCTTGTTTTTTAATTAGATGTGCCAAAAGAGAAACAATGACACTTGAAGACATCAGTTTATGATTCTAAATAGTCAAGATAAAGCCAACCAGCAAACCCAGTGGACGTAGAAGCAAAACTGCATCAGTGCACTAAGCAGGAAAGCCCTAGCCACATGTAACATTCAGAGTTATTTAAGCGATGCTGATAGAAGAAGAAATAATAGTAGAAGCACTAGATAATAAAAAATAGAAAGTTCAATAGTAACTTTAGGTTCTCACCATCATGCACTTAAGAAGCAACACAAGAACCACACCTAGAACACTTTTCTCTTTACTATACTTTAGTGCTTGACACACATGATTGCAAATAGTCTAAGATAGTACAGAAACAGCAGGAGAAGTGGGGTGGGGGGAAGCTGCTTCATTATTTCACATCTCTGAGATCATGGTGTTTGAAAGAAAGAGGAGTGAAGACAAATATAACACATTCAGAGCAATGGTGTCATTCCAGCAGCACCCTCGCTACATTCAATCCAAACATACTTTTTTCCCCCCAGGATGGAACTGGAATAGAAAAAATAGTTCTGCAAATTTGAAGCAGAAGCTGGCTGTGCACAGTGCTGATTGGCTGCTTTCTCATGATGTCACCGAATGTTTTCTTCCCAATCCCTAAAATAACTTTGTACTTTAAAAGAAGTAGTATGTTGTATGGAAATATATGTATATGTGTGTGTGTGTGTGTATATAAGAAAATGAACAAAAATTCATGAACATTTATGCAGTGCTCTCAATTTTTTTTGGAAAGCTGGGCAGCCAGCCTGAATAACAGGGCAGAAGGGAATAAAGAACAAGGTTGGTGGCTGAGCCCATTTTCATGGCATTTATGCCTGTCATTTTGGTTGTGAATTTAAGAGGAAGTCAGGCTCAACCTAGGACTGAGGGGCATGCTGCAACACTGTGAGTTTTTCCATTTTACATCTGCCTTCACCCAGAGAGAGAGAGAGAGAGAGAGCAAGAAAAAGAGAGATGAATAATAAATTATAAGTAAAAAGAACAGAGCTGTTTTCATCCCAGACTCCCTTA